ATCTAGATTTCAAAAGGAAGTTACAGAAGAAGAAGGGAAGCTGCTGAAGAAAGCATATAGTATTTTGCTGGAATGGGAAACAAAAGATGAGGTGGTCAAATTGGTCATGATCAAATAGGCACAGGACATAGGACATAATATACAATTTGAGGACTGGGAAAAATTGTGGAACGTAAACTTGAAATTTACAGATTGTTCTCTCTTAAAAGACAATTATATGAAAATGATGTATAGATGGTACATTACACCAGTACAGATCGCAAAAATGTATAAAACCGGGTCAAATATATGTTGGAAATGCAAAGAAAAAGAAGAGACTTTTTATCATACGTGGTAGGAATGTAGAGAAATTTAAAAATTTTGGGAAATGATATACAATGAATGTTTAAAATGACATTTGTAAAAAAAACTAGAGGCATTTATGTTAGGGATTGTAGGACAAGACCTGCCAAGAAAAACAAAGAATTTATTTATGTATGCTACAACAGCGGCAAGAGTCTTGATAGCACAAGGATGGAAGAATGAGGAAATCCTGACAAAAGAACAGTGGCAAGAAAAATTGGTGAGCTATGTGGAGTTGGCTAAATTGACATACAAATTGTGGGACAAGGACAACTATAGCTTTAAGGAAGAATGGGAGCTTTTTACAAATTATCTAAAAAGACAACAAAATAAACTGGACTCCTTGGCAGGTTTTGACATACACAAATTTATTGGTTGATAACATGTTAGATAGATAATGTAAGGCTATGTACAATTTTATAACACACAGAGAATAAGATGTGCTGAGAAATCAGAGAGAGGAGCTGAGGGAAGTCTTTGGTGGGGGAGGGGAGGGGGAAAGGGGGGGAATTATGTGTGCGATTATATGGTTTCATAATTTGTTATGTTGAAATTACTAATAAAAATATTTTTTAAAAAAGAAAAAAAAGAATGAACCTCCAGAACGAGTTAAGATCGTAACCTGAGGTACCACTGTACAGAGAGCTGGCCTGGCCTGCTCTTATGTGCAAGGCAGGATAGCTCAGCCTGGCTGAAATGGCAGGAGGGAAAGAGCAGCAGGCCAGGCCAAAGAAAGTCTCCTCTGGCTTGCTCTCCCCAGAGGGGTGGACGAGTGACCGATGGAGGGGGTGGAAATATGGAAACCTCCAGCCTTCTCCCTTTAACAACTCATTGGCCACCGTCGCATTTCAGCAACTTAACATACAAAGTAACCACGGAGGTTTTTTACTTGTCCCGCCATTTTCAAAAGAAAAAAGCATTGATAAAAAGCAGAGGGTGGTACCCAACTAAGTAGTACTTGTTCGTAATATCCATTAATTTTAGTGGGTCTACTCTGAGTAGCTGGCAGTGTAGTAGCCCTTTGCCTACTAAAGAGCACCCACCCCCAGGAGACTTACTGTATTTTTCGCTCCAAAAGATGCACTTTTTTCTTTCTAAAAAGTAGGGGGGGGGAGTCTGTGAGTCTTATGGAGCAAATGTGTGGTCCCTGGAGCCATTTTTTGTGTGGAAAGAGGGAAGTGGGTGTTGAAACAAAGCCGCTGATTGCAAGCGACTGGAAGCGAGATAAGGGACGCTAGCAATAAAGGAGGCTGCCTGGGAGGGGGGAGGTAAAGACAGAAAACTTGCAAGGAGAGGAGACAGGAAGACTGAAGCAATGAGGAGAGAAATTAGAAGAAAAGGAGGAGCAAAAAACTGCTCCAGCTAAGGAAAAGACACTAAGGCAAACAAGAGGGAAGGGAGTGTTGAAAGGAAACAGCTGATCGGTGGGATCGGGAGAGAGATAAGGGATGCTAGCCATAAAGGAGGCTGCCTGGGAGGGGGGAGGTAAAAGCCCATGGATCCTCAGGATTTTTACATTGGGTCACCCCAAATTCACCATCTTCTCACATAGCATGTCCATGGCTACAGCCTGCACCAAAAAAATCACTCATCCACTGTTTCCTGGGGCTGCAGTGGTGCAAAAATGTGGTTACAAAGCATGGATCCACATGGATCCTCAGGATTTTTGCATTAGGCTACCCCAAACTCACTGTCAAATCACATGTCTGTGGCCACAGCATGAACCACAAAAATCATACATCCACTGTTTCAGAATATTTTTTTTCTTGTTTTCCTCCTCTAAAAACTAGGTGCGTCTTATGGAGTGAAAATACTGTAATTATATGGGGGCTCTCTTCTCTTTGTGGAAGCCCCAGTGAGGTGTGAGGAGGCTTTAAAAATTCGTTTTTTTTAAAAAAGAAGCGGAAAATACAAGAATAATTTCAAAAGTAAGAGATAGCTGGGTTAGCTAATAACAAAACTCTAGAATTCACCATTGGGCAGTGTCTATTAGGCCTAGCCAAAATGTCACAAAATAGCAGGAAGCTTTCAGTTCTCTAGTGATTAGGCGAGGTGCTACCTAAAGAAAGGAGAAAGTTTCAGGCTAAATATATCTCTGCTGGATGCTACAGGTATCGGTTAACACCTCTATGAATCTGGGATAAAGAAGTAATGCTGCCCCCCCCATTTGCGAGAACCTAAAGGCTGGCTGTAGCCAGATCTGAGGAAAAACAGCCTCCAGAAATGTTTTGAGATTCAGCAAACGTGAGGAGGGCCAGAAGCAGCTGATCTGGCACCTCCATGCACACCTTGTGACACCAGCCACTGGTGGTGATGGAGCAATGAGGAAGAAATAGGAGGGGATCTGGCAGCCTTATACTGATTGCACAGTTGCTGGAGCGGAAGTCTACAGAAAGTGGAAGAGGTGACATGCAGATAGCAGGGGCCTCAGTCAGGGAGACTTTTGTGAAAAGACTCTGCTATTCTGCTACAAGGTAAAGTGAGACAGGTCTCAACCTGCCGTGTTTCAGGTAGTTGATTTGGGGGGTTGCAAAGGGAAATGCAGGAGCAAACATAGGAGATGAGAAGCTGTTTCATGCAGAGTGAGACCACTGGGTCAATCTAGCTCAGTACTGCCTGCACTGACTGGCAGTGGCTCTCCAGGATTCCAGGCAGTGGACATTAATAGCCCTATCTGGATGTGGTTGGGATTGAACCCGGGGCCTTCTGCATGCACAGCCAAAGCTCTACCCTGGAGCTCTGGGCCTTCCGCAAGGGGCAGAGATCCCCCAAGGGGCACAACCCACGCGGATGTTCTCCCATACAAGCCCCTTGGCATGAAGCAGGAGCTGCGGAGGAGCAGAGTGCCTTGTATCTGGTCTTGAACAGTGAGAAGTGGCCACCAGTTCAATGTGATGCATCAAGTCCCAACATTTTTGGGGGCTGGCCGTGTTTGCGTGCAACTGAATTGGCTGAACTGGATTGATCTTTATGCTACAAAAAGCTTTACCTGCTGGTGTTAAAGGACTCGTAACCCTACCTATCGGACAAGCAACCAAGAGCAAAAAGACCACAGAATCATTAGGGCACATTTCTCATGAACTATTACACCCTTCCCAAGCTTACTTCGGATTTCACCCCAAAACAAATACTTAAAATTGCTGCCCCGACTATATAATATATACACTTTCAAGCAGATCTAATTCTTGTCTTTTGCACAAGTCTTCTTATTCTTTGGCGATCACTCGTAGCCAAGTAAGATTGTCTTCCATAAACACAGTTTTAACAATGAGTCTGTAAGTGACTGTGGAGGCCAATTCTGGATCCACACGTCCTTCCACAGTAAAGTGGTTTCTGGGCGGGAGCTGGTCATGGTGTGGATTTGCCAAGCGTGACCTTTTTGCACAAGTATGACCTTTTTGATCACTTGCCTTCCATCATCATTTTTTCTCATTTAAATATCTTATAGGCATAGTAGTCACATGAAGTACTGATTTCTACAGTTTATCTGAATTCCTGATGTTCTAATTTGAAGGTTCAGATACATTTAGAATCTAGATAAGTCAGGCATGAGAAAAATAAACTGTTGATCCTACTTGCTCCTACAAAGCACAGACAAGATTAACTTTATTTTTACACAATTGCCTTATCAGGACTTATGAGGTTCTTCTCTAAAGATACCAGATTAGGAACTCAAAGATCCAGACACTTAACTGCTCAACTCAGACCAAAAGGATTGGTGACCCAGAAACAGAGACAGTTACAGTATAAGGTTCAAATTTGCAGTGACATTATAAAGTGGCCCTTCAATCCAATGAACATGCTATGCCTCTGCCTTATGAACCCTCTTCTGCTGCAGTGTTTTCAAGCTCCTGATCCAACCACTGACCTCAGGCCAGAGAACAGATTGAGGTACAGTTGTCTACAGCCCCAGCTGGGGAAATGGACCAAAGCCATCCAGGTGCAAACCTCTGCTGTGCCATTTCATCTACTGCCAGCCGCGAACAGGATCCGACTTTCTCTTAAAACAGAAGAACTTCTTCCAAGGTACCATTTGAAGAACGTGCATAGTCAAGAGGATCAGCAAATCCCAGCTACCAACCCACAGTCTACCGACTCCAAGACAGACATATATAAGACACCCAAGACATTCACAAGCCTAAGTTCAATTCGCAATAAATATATGCATCAGATAACAGATTGCAAAACAAATAGCTTTTGTTTTCTTTCATTTTTAAATGAAATTCCTTTCAAAGTGTCCAAAATTTGTTTGTGGTTTGTATGCTGTTTGAAACTGCATGTCTAAAATTCTATTTCAGAAAATAAGAATTAAATTTAAAACAAACAATTAAACAAAGACATAGGGGGTATTCTCTCAGCCCCATCATTTATTGCAGAGCTTATAAACCAAGTTAAGTATCTACTTGAATTATGCCTGTTACTCAAATGTAAAATTTCTGAATAGTGCATTTACTCTTAATGTTCTTGTACATGCAGATAGGACAAAATATGTATTTATTCCTGAACATTTCTGGAGCGATGCTAAAGGCAATTCAGCTTTGTTCTTGTGAACGCTCTACCACGTTCCTTTTGATTCACCAAGAGAACAAAATACCACTGAAAACTGAAGCACATCTACAGCTGGCAATGGCACAAGAGGTACTAACTAGCACACCTACCTTGCTCAGGCAGAGTTTGTGCTGGTCTTGCCATGGACAGTGTGGCTGTGACCAGCACAGCCCAAAGAATGAGGCACTTCCAGGTAAACATCCCAGTTCTCCTGCTACTGGATGACCACTGAGCTCTCAGACGCCATGAGGGTGTGCAGCTTCGGTGCCTGTTTGCAAAACGAGAGAAGGTGGCGGGGTCTCACTTGTTCTCCAAGGTGCAGACTTTCAAACACTGTAAATTCAAAAACAACAATTAATGTACAGGAAAATAATTATACTACTGTCCTCAATATCTCAATTATTTTCTCCAACAGTCTAAAATCAGGACTTTTTGTGCAGTGTTTGTGCGCTTTTGTGTCTGAGCAAATTTAAGGAGGCAATCAGACTGCAGATTCAAAATAGTGGAAAGGAAGGTGAGTGAAGCTCTGAATTGGGACTGGGGAACCTCTGGCCCTCCAGATGTGGCTAGACTTCAACTCCCATCATTCCTGACCACTGGCCATGCTAGTTGGGGCTGATGGGAGTTGGAGTCCAACAACATCTGGAGGGCCACACTTTCCCCATCCCTACTACAAATTCCTGAGGCAGAAATCTCAGTTCCTCACTCAACTAAAATTCCCAGGCACCTTTGGGAGAAGCCATGCCTGTTAAAATGGTGGCAGGGAGTTGGTCATGTACACTGACATGAATTCTATCAGCAAGTAAGAGCAGCAATCAATTGTTATTAGGCCCAAATAAAAGTAAATGCTAAGACTGTGTATAAAAAACATTATTTTGTTGCAAAATAAAATAAATATTCTGCTATTGCTGCTTTTGGATTTTTTTCTCAATGGATCAGCACTGCTGGTTGTGGCTTTTATAGTTCAATCCACTGTAATTTCTTTGTGATGGCCTATTTATACATGGTATCACCCAGTGTTGAGAGTCAAATAATAAACATGCATACATAAACAAGCCCAAAACTCCTATGAAGAGGGTGTTTGCAGCAACAAAACTCACAAGATCACAATACAACCACTAGCCTGAGACCCATTGAGATGGCTCCACTATTCTAACAAAACAGAATCAGAACACACTGTCTTCTTTTTGTACTGTAAATAAGCCTGACTATGTGGTTCATTACAATTTTGTTGGTTGTCACTTTCTTCTCCCAGCTGTAATGATGGAAGTTCTAGCATCTGGAAGTTGTGAAACTGTGTAGATCACATCTGGCAGTACTTTTATTTATGTCGTACATTGATAGCCTCACATCAAAGAACTCCAGGTGATGCAGCTGAGGTTCGCAGGTTCCCCTTCAGACGCTGACCAGACCCATGCGCTACACCTTGTACTGTCCACCATGTCCTCAAGCCAAGGTATAAGTGAACAATAAATTCACACACAGCACAGCAGAATAACCAGCTTAGACATACTGGAGCACCGAGTCTAGTGCGCCCTCCAGATGTCTTGGACTACAACTCCCACCAGCACCCAGCTAGCACAACATCCACAAAATCTAGAAGTTGGGGAAGATGACACTAAATTTTTGTTCTTTCAAAAAAAAAATTCTTATTCCTAAAGATACAAAGTTTGTAAGTTGCTACCTTATTTGTCACTGGCTAAAGAAAACAGCACAGGATCATTTCTACTAGAGATGCCTTGGTCTATTCTACCAACTTTTAAATTTGTTGTTGTTTTATGACTCATTCTACAGCCAAGCAGGCCCTCAAGGCAGCTCACAAAAAATAAAATTAAAAACCAGTACAATGCCAAAGGACAAATAATTACTATTTAAACTTAATAAAAACATTCAGCGGTTAGCCCATACCAAAGACTCTCTTTCAAACTGCCTTTGCCAGCCTCCTCCTCTCTCCCCAGGCCTCCCCTGCCTCAACTCCAGCGGAGGCACTTGGAGGAGCAGACTGTTCCCAGAGGCCTCTGGGCATGGGCAGGTTGCTGCAAGGTCTAGGTCCCTGGGTGGGTGCCAAGCCATCTTTGCACAGGGACAGTGGGGAACCACCTGGGTAGAAGCTGGATGCCAGACCAAAGTCTGCTTGGTTATCTTGCCCTCCCAAGCCATGGCGCCTGGGACATGTGTACTGATCCCGGCAGTTAAACAAACGCTGGCACCAGACCTCTGAGCAAAAGAGCTGCCGCCAGACCCAGATCGTACATTTTTAAAATAGCTGGCTTAAAATGTTAAATCGTTTTGCTAACGAGTGAAATACTTGGCTGAAGGGTCTCTGGTATTTTCAGGAAACAACCGCCCTCTCTCTTAAAGGTTCTGTTTATCAACCCTCCTCGCTACTTGAGACACAGCCCAGCAGAGAATTTCCCTTACAACCAGGGCTCTTTTCTAAGAGAAACCTGCTGGACAGAAGGAGAAGGGGAAGCGCAGGGGCAGAGCAGGCTCCAAACCCTGAATTTTTGTCCCCTGAAACAGCTCACGGATGGCTCAGGGAAGAGTCACCGGGAAACCTGTCCTGGCTTCCCCGAGTGCCAGGTTCATACTTCCAGCATGAATCCCAAGGACAAGTCACGAGCCGTGATGTGGCCGTCCTTCAGGCTGCACAGAAAAGAGGCCCTGGAGACACTGAAGTGGCGTCAGCAGGAAAACATGCACTTCTCAGCCAAATTGGAAGGGGTGTGGGAGCAGGGGGCGTGCAGAGAAAGGACATCAAGGCCCAGTGGCCTCCTCCCCGGGAACAGCAAAGGAGGAGGAAAAGGAGCAGGTCCTCCTGGGGAGATATTAATGACAACTGCCTTTGCCCAAAGCACCACGGAAACCAGCTTTGTGAACTTTGTGCAACAGCTAAAAGGAGGGCAGGCAAAGGAAAAGAGGCGTCATAGAAACTTGGGGGATTTACATCTTGTGTGTGTCTACTCAGAAGTAAGCCTCACTAGAGTTCAATGGGAACTGGTCCCAGGTGAAGCAGGCATAGGATTTCAGCCTATTAAAATATTTAGGAGATCTATCATGTGGAGAACAAAGTGTTAAGTGGAGTGGAGGATACTGGCCGCATTCTTGATGAAGTAGCAAAGCTGAGTCCAGGCTGTAGAATCATAGAATTGTAGAGCTGGAAGGGACCCCCAGGGTCATCCATTCCAACACCCCACAATGCAGGAATCCCAGCTGAAGTGACCGCAGGTGGTGAATCACTTGACAAAAGAATCCCCCACTCTCCCAGAATTCCCTGCATGTATTAAAGTAGCATTCCGGGGCAAAAGCTTCCCTAGAATTGCCTTCTCTAAATTTGCGTGGATTATGATTCCCTCTGCCGTCTTAAGTGGTACAGCTAGACCAGAGCTGGCTCCAGGTTGTTGTGCCTCCTTGGGCAAGATGCCTCAATGGAGCCTCCTCCCCTAGAGAGGGAAAGGTAGGAAGCCTCCTCACACGAAGACCAACCTCTTGTCCATCTAAGCCAGGGGTAGGCAACCTAAGGCCCAATCGCCTTCTCAATCCGGCCCGCGGACAGTCCGGGAATAAGCGTGTTTTTACATGAGTAGCATGTGTACTTTTATTTAAAACGCATCTCTGGGTTGTTTGTGGGGCATAGGAATTCATTCATTATTATTTTTCAAAATATAGTCCAGCCCACCACATGGTCTGAGAGACGGTGGACCGGCCCACGGCTGAAAAAGGTTGCTGATCCCTGCTCTGAGTGGCAGCAGCTCTCCAGGGTTTCAGGAAGGGGACATGCTCAGGGATTGAACCTGGGACACCTCCCATGCCAACTAAGGTCTAGCTCTTTGTCAGCATTGCCAGCACCTGCTTCTTTTCCTCCCCCTTATTGCTACCACCTGCCTGCTTGCTTGCCTGCGAGACAGAAAACCAAGGAGTGAAATCTCTGCTCTTCCTTTCACCACCACGACTGCCCAGGAGCAAGAGGCAGACAAATAAGCAGATGGCAAGGGTGACAAGAAGATGCAGGAGGACTTTGCCAAGGGCCCCCTGTTGGGTGTGCACCCTCAAGAGACGCCCAATCCTACCAGCCACAGATACCACTCCTGAACGGGCCAAAGGTTCACCATCTTAGAAAGACACTTCCTTTGATAGTACGCTAAAATCAAGACATGCCAGTCTGCAGGCATGCTTATAAAGCACACGCAAACACTTTTGAATTGTCTTTCACACTGCGGTTAAAAAGAAGTCTAAGCCAGAAGTCTACAGCTGAAGTGACACACTTATACAAACCCTGTCCCTATGGGACTTATGGGACAAGGAGAATTCTTTCAAAAAAGGGATACGTGGAATCTCACGGAAGGGGCTATGCAAAGTGTAAAAGGTCCTGGAAACGAAGGCTGCACATGCCCCCCTCCACCCAATTCGGATCCCAATCCAGTGCTTTGGAGCAGCACAAACCTGAACTGGATCCAGGACCTGAACTGATTCCTACGCCTTGCACAGAGTGTTGCAGAGCTGTCTGGTGGCAAGAAGAAGGGAGAAGAAGATGCTCTGGCAGCCTGCATGGCTCTCCTCTCCCTCCCAACTGCATGTTTGGTCAGGCGTTTAAACCCTAATGAAACATATGATCCGGAGGGGAAGAAGATGTCTGCAGGCCAGCTGAGCATCTCTCCCCTCTCCTAGCCACCAGGTGGCTTCTTCCCTTTGAACAGCCCGGGGCTGCCTCAACTTGACCCATCCAAATCCTGGACTGCCGCAAATTGGCCCAATTGGGATCCAGAATTTGGCCCCATCTGAAGTACTGCCAGCATAGAAGCCACTTTTAGGATTCTGTGCCTTTCGAGGCAAAACACTCCCCACTGACGCCTTCATGTAACACCCTTGTTGCTAGACTATTCTGCTTGAGGCTGCAGGTGGCGGAGATTGTGCAGGTTGGGTTGCAACCATCTTCCACCCATGCAAACAATTTCTATGCTGGCTTTCCCCCAAAAGTAGCCTCAAGGTGGCAAGCAATGCTAAAAATAGCATGGATTGCAACTTGTGCATCAACCACCACCATTTGCCACCCGATTAAAGACATCAGCTGATGTGCTTTAGTTGATTAAGGCACTTACTCGTGAGAAAAGGTGGGGGTAATTTAAAGAAAAATGAAGAAAAGTTATTTGATGGCACATGCATGCCCTGGCAGCCTTCATCTAAGAACTGCTCAGCCTTCTCGCGAATGCTTTGTTCACAATCTTGCTCCCAGTACAGTCTCTGCCCCCACCGCCACCTCTACTCAAGCACAAGCCATCTCACCCTTAAAGGGGGACAGGCTCATTTTCAACGCCCCACCCGCCTTGCATCTT